GTCTGACGGTGTGATGAATCAAAATGTAACATTTTTGGATCAACACATCAACATGTACGGAGGAGGTCGGGAGAAAGTTACAAGAGTAATTGTCTCCAATCTGGCCCACAGGACGGCTCTGGAAAATGTGATGAAAGGCATAAACTTTAGACCTTTAACTGTATTTTCACAAGTTTTACAGCTTTTGCTACTAATAAAGATCTCCCACGTGATCATTCACATGGCACCAAAGTAATTATGAATGAGATAAACAATTATTTATATATTTCAGGTTTTTACAATGATTCCACAGTAACATAAATAAATAAATACATAAATAAATAAATAATACATTTTCTGTGAATGAACAAAATGCTCTGTTTAATCACTGGGTAGGCTGGTGATGAGCTACCAGAGCTTTTTCTGCAGTTTTAAACATTTATTCATCACAATTTAGGTCCAAAGAGCCATGTTGTTAGATTTCTTTCATTGCTTTATCATTTAGAAAAAAATGAGGCCTCCTGTTAATATTGACATGACAAAATTGGCATGACAGTGATCCCAAACACACTGCCAGTGCAGAAAAACCAAAAACACACAATGGAACGCTATCAGTCATGGATTGGCGTCCCCAGAGCCCGAACCTCAACATTATTGAAGCAGCTGAAGAGAATAGAACACGAGGCAGCCAAGAACCAAAGAAGAGCTTTGGATGTCCTTTAAGAAGCCCGGAGAACTGTTCCTAAATACTACATAAAGAAATTACAAGAAAGCGGCCTAACAAATGTCAGATGGTGACGAAGAATAAAGGTACTAAATATTTACTTTCAAGCTCGTTACAAAGCTCTCTGTATATGCATTTCCATGTATATGTGCACTCTTTTCAATAAATCTCTAAATCTTTTAAAAATTTCTAGCAAAATATGAACAAATGAGGGGTGGTCAAACTTTTTCACAATGCTGTACTTCCATGTACAACACTGCAGCTTTACAGAGATGACATGAATGTCTACAGGATGCACGTGCATGCACTTTCCCCTATTTTCCGTGCTGTAACTGCTCGTGCAGTTATCATTTAATACTCCCTTATCAAGAAGATATTCAGATCTGTCAGCAACATGTGGCTCCTTTTATTATCACCAATCATTGTGAAACAGGCAATCGGCACACTGTAAAAAAAAATGCTTTAAACACTTCTGCGGATCAAATGTAGAAAATGTGGAAAGAGAGGTGACGCTCTTATTACATCCCGGAGGAGCTTCTCTCATCTGTAGTCTGAAGATTTATTGCTGTTTTATTCTTCTATTGGCTATGATTCTAAATTGTTTAATTAATGCATTTATGACACATTTTATGATATCCTGTACTGATGAAATTGGCAACTGCATTAATTCCTTTGGATGACTCCGTTCCTGTATTACATGACACATTGTGCTATATCAGCAGTGTAGTCTTTTAGTATTTTCCTGTTGATATCAGTTAGCCAGAACTAAATGAAAGTCTCGGCAGATTTTATTTTTTAATTAATTTATTATTTATTTGTATTATCAGCCTACACTTTCAGATCCAGACTCAGACCCTCCAGGAGGGGGCGACACATTTCCACTCACTCTACTCCAACCTTCATGGTGTAACCAAATTTTATTCAAGCCATTGGATCTGATTTAATAAATATAAATTTACAGTGCATTTTTAAAAAAAATATAATATTAGTTATTATATTATGTTTTCTGTTATTTCTGTCTTTCTTTTGGTTGGGAATCACAGGAAAGAGGAGACATGATCCTCAGTACTTTTCTATTATATTACACACAAATAACTTAATTGGTTTATCAGAAAACTGAAGTATGCATCACAAGTTTAGGTCAAATAGTTTCACTGTAAATGCTGCATAGCAGACTTTGACGGATCAATAGATTTGTTGTAAAACTCATCTTAAGTCTGATTTAGATTTTTATGCACTAAATGAGATCTAGTCAGTCCGATTTCATCCGGTCCCTGCAGCGTATTTTCACGCTGATACAAATTTACTACACAGCTCAGGTCTGACCTCTGGTGAGAAACTGTGCGCACTGCATCAGTATGGTGCACACATGCATCGGATGTGAGTCCTGCACAGCCTTGACTGTCTTTGAATGTCCTTCAGCTTTTTTTGTTTGTTTATTTTCGTGTTAAATCTCCCTTTTTCAGGTTTGATGTGCACATATACAGTTTTTAACAGTCATGAAGTATTAGATGATTTCTGGTACCTGCCTAACTACTTACATAAACAGCTGATAAACCTTTGGAAGAAGGGTGGTCAGCAGCATTATCTGTTTGTTTTTATGGTTTTTTCTATGCTTTTCCTGCAGCTTAAATATTTTATTCAGATCACGTGGATGGTGGTGGGATTCCACCGTTGGAGTATTAATGCTTTAATAAATGCCATATTTTATTTGGGACTTCTGCCGACGGATTAGCTGCATAACTTTCTCAGCACCAGGAGATGCAATGAAGATTTAGCTCATACTTGTTGATGACATGTGTTTTATCTTTGGTCATTGACTTTGATCAGTGTAACTTTGTGCTGAACATTGGGGGGGGGGGGGGGGGGGGGGGGGGGGGGGGGGGGTTCAAGATCTCTGTCTAAAAAATAATAAATCTGGGTAAATTCCAGATGATTAAACACAACCATTTTGCTGGTGGTAACTGAAATGAGTAAAGAAAATCAACAGCCTATTTACACAAGATAATTCATAATTTTATTGGGGGGGGGGGACCCCCCTGGAAATTACACCCCTGAATTCAGGTGATGCGCTGCCTGATTAAGTGGAAAAAAGAGTGACACCCAAGAAGAAGACCTTTCTGATCCACTCAGTGATCTTAAGCGTCTTGCAGAGGTAACAGCAGGATCTCAGGTTCAGGTCTCACGTGTAAAAGCTAAACTATTAAAGATACTATTCAATAACAGTGACAGAAATCTGACCAAAGTGAGACAAATGATGAAGCCCATAAGTCTATTAACTGAGCTTCCTCCTTCTGCTGCTTACATTTCTGACAAAGTGGACCAATGAGCTAATCTTTTCTCTCCGTACAGACAGAATCTCAGACTATCCTGTGAGCAAACATTCTGTGGCACTGTGCTGAGCACTGCACCACATCATTGGCTTTGCACACCCGTCTGGTTAGAGCAGCAGTGATGCTAAAATCCAGTGGAGATCTGCAAGTAATATTTAGATACACGTTAGGATTATACAGTTAAAAGTCCATGTAGATCAACTGAAATATGTAGCAAATCAGCGCTATATTTTTTTCTATATCATCTCTTCTGTCATTATGTAGCATGTGCACATATGTATTGTATTCCTGGACCTACCTTATTACTACAGGCCTCTGGACTGTGCTTAAATTGTAAGCTGTATAAGCCTCTGTTGTGTTTTCATATCACACACTGCACACCGGTGTATTTTAAATCAAACACTCAATATGTGATCGAAGTGCAGACTTTAACATTTAAACAAAGGTTTGCATTAACTGTTTTGCAACCACAGCCCTTTTCATTCATACTGGCACAAATATGTGAAAGCAAGGGTGATATGCAGAGCAGTAGGAACGACATGGTATGATGGCTCATAACATGAAGATATGGGAAAGAGCTGATGATCAGTAAGCAGCAGTCTGGCTTCACGCAGAGAAAGGGCACTACAGATGTGATGTTTCCTTTGAGAGTGTTGGTGCACTGTGTCTGTGGATAAAGAAAGACCTAGTGGGGTGCCAAGAGAGAAAATGTGATACTGTATGAGGAAGCCAGCAATGGCAGAGAAGTGTGTGAGGATGGTGGAGGATATATATGAGGATGGCTAGACATTGTGCAATAGGAGTAACAGATGGGTTCAGGGTGAAGATAGGATTACATCGGGGATCGGCTTTAAGCTCCTTCTTGTTCGCAGTGGTGACAGGCAGGGTGGAGTGGGTGGAGACGAGTGTCAGAGGTGATTTGTGACAGAAGGATGGCAGCAAGAGGGAAAGAGAAAGTAGGGAGACCTGTTATGATTCATGGCTTGGAGACAGTGTCACTGACAAAAAGACAGGAGGCCGAGCTGGAGATGGCAGAGTTAAGGTTTTCATTGGGAGTCATAGTTGAGCAGTTTGGAGACAAAGTTAGAGGCAGGGCTGAGGTGGTTTGGACATGTGGCAAGGAAGGATAGTGGTACACTGGACAAAGGATGGAAAAGAGGAAGACCACAGAGAAGATTCATGGATGCAGAGGGTTGGTGTGACAGTTTCTGTATTTATTAACTAAAAAGCTACTCTATTGGATGACTGACTTTGGCCATTATTCGGTTATCCTGCTACTTCTATCAGAAATCTCCTTATCAATAAACTCTACATGTTTGTTTCCACTGGCAGCCATGCATGCGACAACCATAAAATTGCATCCACCACGTTTGACAGATGATGTGATATGCTTCAGATCAGGAGCTGTTTTTCTCCTGCTCCATGCTTTTCTCTTTCCACCATTCTGGTACAAGTTAACCTGGGTTTCATCTCTCCAAATATATATATTTTTTCTACAACTATGTAAGCTTGATTTAAAATCCACTGTGATGGTGGAAATTTAACTGCCCAAAGGGTTATGAATCCAACAGTACACCAGATTTAAGACTATTGGGGAAATCATTATTAAAAGAAATTAGGTAAACAAGTAAAAGCTAGCTGAAACGTCCAAGAATGATGTCCATGTGGGACACTTATTATAAATTCATAAGGTAGGGTCTTTAAAGGATGTTCAAATAAGTTATTAAAAGATAAACATATTGTAGTCTGATGTAGACGAAAAATATTTGTACCCCTGAAAATAATCAAGGTAGCCTATATTGGATTAATTGGTGCACAGTGAAAGAATCAGCTTAAATCTGCTTAATATTATTATCGATATGCGCGGGAAACGTCCAGTATTTCCACTCAAACCACGTGTTTTTTGACAAAAGTAAAAAGGTGTAAAGGGTTAAGGATAATCTCAGCAGCAGATTCAGATTCAGCAGCTTTGCTCTCTGCTCTCAGCAGTCGCGCTCTGCGAGCAGCGCTGGCTCGCTCCGATATTTCAACTCGCTGTGGATTGTGGGAGACGGGGACACTGCCCAGGCTTGTTACCGGAGACCGAGAGGAAAATTTTTCCGCTCCTCTCTCGCATTTGTAAGTAATCCGCCAGCTTCGCGCACAGCCGTGTCAGCTCTGGTGTTGGCGTTTCGTGTCGATCGAGTCGGTCTCCGTTACCCCGGCTGAGACGTTAACGTTGCCATTTCGTGCTTTTTTTTTTCCCTGGCATGGAGGCCGATAGGGAGACCGTGTTGCTGGGGCTGACGGGCAGGAAGGGGAGGGAAGGAGGAGCGGGCAGCTGCCGCCACTCTCGGGTGGAAATAACCCCGGTAGAGCCCGCTGACCCGAGCATTAAAATCGTCCTCGGGTCGTCTGACAGCTTGGTATTTGGCGTTAGTCACGCGCACGGACTGTGGGGGAATTAAACGCACGCGCGCTAGACATCCGGCGGGCTGTTGACACGCGGAAATAGCTGTCAGTGGCGGTTCAGCCCACCTTACACCTGGTCAGAGTAGAAAAATGCCGCAGATGTTGCGGGAGAAATAAAACGTGCTTGCTGTGTGTTGGTGGGGAAAAAAAGCTGAAGAGCCGCGGGAAACGGGGGCTTGGACACTGTATCGCGCGCGGAGTGTTTGCGTTGGGAGAAGGGTTTTTTTTTGGGGAGGGGTGGCATGGCCTGTGCTGTGGGCTAATTGATTACCACACAGCTAATTGGTGTCTGCATCTGGTGCAGCAGCATTGATTTCGCTCGCAGTAATCTTTACGTTTCGTAAAGCGGCGGGGTGACTTGCGAAGTTTTTATTGCCTTACCGCGTGCGTATCGCGTTTACGTTTGATGAGCGACCTCTCTCGAGATGTCAGGACCGTAAAATGTCACATTTGGGTTGCGCAATTTCCCCATGGTGACATAAAATGAAAAGCTTATTTGGGTCCTCTGCAGTTTCTCATCAAATGGTCAAAAGAGTAGGAGTCCCGAGGGAAAGCGGCATACTGTGTGTACTAAAACAACACCCCCCCCCCCCCCCTTCTTTAAGAATCACCCATGACATCAAACTCATTTATGTCTGGAATTTAATGCCTTTCCACCCAGTCCTTGTTATCTGTGTATTTATTTATAATTTTTACTTTGTAAATCCAAGAAAGGGGCTCCAATCACAGGAAAGTTAAAGCAGGGGTACGTTTTCCTATCAAAGGATTACTCTGTTTATTGGCAGATTGCTTAATAGAGTACTGGGTCTGGTCCACAATGTTTGCAGCAATTTAAGAAGCTTGTAAAGATAAATCTTTTTGATATTTGGCTATGGGTATTGGTCTTTTTGTCATGCACAAATTAATAGTTTGTAATAAAGGAGATCAGTGTTGTTCAGATTTGTCAATGGATCGTGGCTGATGTGCCCGTGCAGAGCCTGACGCTGCTAGCAGTGACAGCATCATGTCCAGCCGAGGAGGAAAGAAGAAGTCGACCAAGACCTCGCGGTCCACCAAGGCCGGGGTCATCTTCCCCGTGGGGCGTATGCTGCGCTACATCAAGAGGGGATTGCCTAAATACCGCATCGGGGTGGGAGCTCCTGTCTACCTGGCTGCTGTCCTCGAGTATCTTACTGGTGAGATTTATTTTGCAATGGAAGAGAGTGGTTAAATATTAACAGACAGCAACACAAGGACTGACTCCAGAATCAAGACAATAGAACTACCAAATGACTACTTTAAAATCATTTTAGGGGTATGTAAGGGCACTTTAAGAAAGAAAAATCCCTGTGACGAAGCATGCTTTGTTATTTACATATTTGTAAATCTATTGGATAGCAATAGATGGATATCCAATAGAATGCAAAGTGCTGCAGATTAGCTGCTATTAGCGATGGTGCAGCTAGAGGATACTGATGAGGAAGCACTGGAAATCTGTTTATTGAGGGATTTCACAGTTCAGAGATCACCCATGTTTGTCTTGATGTTTGCTTCAAATGACATTCGGAGACACATTTACTCTTTGAAGACCTCATGAAAGTTAATCAGGTTCACTCATACATTCAGCATTCAGGACACAAAGCTGTTTTTTTTTTTTTTAAAGCACCCTTGATTATTTTTTCTTCTTTTTCTTTTAAAAAAATCCATGTAGCTGAGATTCTGGAGTTGGCAGGTAACGCGGCCAGAGACAATAAAAAAGGCCGTGTGACACCACGACACATCCTGCTGGCCATCGCCAACGATGAGGAGCTGAACCAGGTGAGCTGCTCTATAAATAATGATCCTAACTTCCAGGTGGTGCAGGGCATCATGGACATTGTCTTGGTTTGTCTAATTTCACATTTGCAACTGTTTCAGTTGCTAAAAGGCGTGACCATTGCAGCAGGTGGAGTCCTGCCCAACATCCATCCAGAGCTGCTGGCCAAGAAGAGAGGCGCCAAGGGGAAACTGGAGACGCCTGTCTCACCTGCCCCCGAGAAGAAACCCAAGTCGGTCAAGAAAACGACAGCTAAGAAACTGAGTGGGAAAAAGGCAGGAGGCAAGGCTAAGGTATGCCTTAATGTGAACAAGACTGATGCCTTTAAGAGCGACTGTGACTGAATTTAACTGTTTGAAGTGTATCATTAGTCGTTACTGCGCTTAATTGTCGGGCATGTCTCAAAATCAGTCCAGACTATTGGGTTTATTTATTTATTTATTTATTTTTAAAAAAGCATCCATACTGACCATAGCGGCAGATGCTAGACACTCCACTGCTGATTGCAGGGAAGCTATTCCTGTCCACAGTGCTTGCAGCTCTCCTGCTGATAGCTGTGGAGCTGCACCACTTCACAAACACACGTTTGACCCATTGTGGCTGTAAGAGAGGAAATACACCCTCTTTACACAAACCAAGCAAATTGAGACTAATCAAATTTGGAAAGACAAGTAGGAGCAGAAAACCCCCAGCCTTCAACAAAACATAGACAATGTTTAAGCAAACCTTTTTGCCCCAGTTATGTCTGGAGTGGATTTAACACTTCTGGAGCTTAAGTTTGGAACAAAATAATTTGCATTCAGGTAACATCAGGAAATTATTATTAAAAATTGAGATTTCATCCTTTTCCACATTGTAGGAAAATAAAACGGGAACTAATGGCGCTGCAGGATTTACTGTTTTAACTTTCAGAAATAAATGCAACTGAAGGCACAAAACTGAGGCAAGATATTATTAAAAACTGCAGCTTTAACACAGAGGCAGTAGCTGACCTCTGACCCTCCCATGGTGGGGGCATTATTGCTGCAGTTAGAAGTGAAGTGTCACATGTCAACATGTATTCTGTGTCCTCAACAGAAACAGGGTGAGGTGAGCAAGGCGGCGTCAGCGGACAGCACTACAGAGGGATCTCCATCTGACAGCTTCACTGTGCTCTCCACCAAGAGCCTTTTCCTGGGTCAAAAGGTCAGTCCTCTGTCAATTCAGACATGCACTAACCTCAACACAGGTCACCGCTAATTATACAGAGTCGAGTTCAAGTTTTAGATGGTGATTCATGAGGCTTACGAAGAAAGTCTACACAAATCTTTTATAGATGCAGTAAAACATACGTAGAGCCATACGTTGGATATTAAAGGCTGGTGAGGGTTTTAAGGGGACTCTATTGTGCTAAAAAGCAATGCTGAGGTCAGGGTTTAATAACTTTTCATTTAAAGGATGGACAGCTTGAGATAATGTTTTTCTTATTTCAGTTGTGAGTTTTCTTCTGTTTTCAATGTGACCTGTGTTTCTTTAGCAACCAAATGCTCTGTGTGTACAACTCAAATCAGATAAGAAGCAGAAAAGAATCCTTCATGCGCTGCCACAGGGTCTCTCAGGCTCTTGGTAGACTCAATAGACTACAAACTGTTGCCTCCATATTACATCCGACTGTTTTTATTCAGCCTTTTATCTGTGCTGCTCCCTCATGACTGAACTAGATCTAACACGGGAAATCCGACAAAGATGATTTGATAACATCGAAGCCATTCAGTTGGTGTCTTAAAAGGAAGCTTCTGCTATTCTGTTTAATATAAGTTTCCTCACACTGAACATTGTGATAGTTTTGTTGTAACTCACGTGAAGGTCTAATAGGCTTAAATTGGAGTATAGATAGATAGATAAAGATATGAATGACAGAGATATTTTGTGATCCGTTAGCTCCCATTGCTTTGGTCCTGCTGAGCATTAAAAACTGCTTTTTAACCCTTTGGCTGAGCTGAAACCTGAAAGTAAGTTTACAACAAGTCATAATCAGAATTCCTTCAAATGATTTTTTTTTTCCAGAATATACTTCAAGAGCATAAGACTGTCATCAGATCAGATGCTCATGAAAATCACTGGAGGTTTAAAAAAACAAAACATAAAAGGCACTGAAGTGACACTGTATTAGAGAATGAATGACTCAAGAATGATGCAAGAAGTGCCACCGGTTCCCTTTTTATTAATTTCACACATTGGGAATTGAAGATAACTGCTGATTTAATATGAATCTGACCCTTATTCTTACCCTTTGTGCTAACTTTTTTTTCTTTGATGTGTAGACAAATATTTGAATGAACAGCATTCCTGTTTGTCAACACCAGTCTGACTTTTTTCACCTTTCACTAAATGTTTTGGTACTTTATCACAAATTAAACACACAATGGTAATGACATAACAACATCTGGACACTTTACTTGTATTAGACAGTAGTAGCAGTTAGACCACCACCACCACACAGAATCACCGATATGAGGCAGGGTGGATCCATGCTTTTGTTTTTAGGTCTAATGTCACAGCAGAAATCAGGACTTATGAGACCAGGCAACGTTTTTCTAGATTCATGTTGTCCAGTTTTGGTGAGCCAGTTCAAACTGAAGCTTCAGTTTCCTGTTTGTAGCTGGCAGGAGGGGCACCTGGTGTGGTCTTCTGCTGCTGTAGCCCATCTACTTCAAGGTTTGATGTGTTGTGCATTCAGAGATGCTCTTCTGCATACCCTAAGTTGTAACAAAAGGGTGTATCTGAGTTAATGTTGCCTTTGTATCAGCTTAAAGCAGTCTTCTCTGACCTGGCTCACTTGATATTTCTTCTTTTTTGGCTATTCTCTGTAAATCCTTGTGCAGGAAAATCCTGGTAGACCTGGAAGTCAGCCACGCCATATTCAGTACCCCTTTTAAATCAGCTTTCTTTCAACCATTCTGATGCTCAGTTTGAATGTCGGCAGGTCATTTTGACCATATCTACATGTGCAGAACAGGTTTACCCAACAAAGTGTCCACTAAGCGTAGAACTCATTTTTATTTTGCAAATTCTTGAATCATAAAATATGTTCTTACACTGTTTTAATGCAAAAAAGAAAAAAAAAACGCATTGGGAGAAGTAATTTACTTTAAGGTTTCACCTCAGGCCTCAGTCACACAGACTTGGAACCAGTCAGCAACAATCTGGCAACAACCGGTTGCAAAGGAAAAATGCGCCAGGGAGTTGCTTCTCTGTCCCGGTGTGACCGAGGGTTTAGCTTTCACCTGGCAGTTGGCAGCTCTGCACGCTTTGTTCTGCCCTGCGTATGTTGATGCTAATATGTCATTTCATACTAATTAACTTGACATTTTCTTGCTAGTGAATTAGAATTGATTCTGCTCTGATTTAGCTGCCGTCTTCTGCTACCGCTGGTACTTTAAAAGCATAATGACTCTTGGCACCGTGCTTGTGAATCTTTTATGAGCTGTAACAATGAACAAAGAACAATGAAGTGCTTGCATTCCTTGATGATGCATGTAGTGTACTGTAGTGTTTTAGTGAAGGATTAAAAAAATGATTAGATGCTGAAAATATTAAAAGCTTTCAGGTTTTCATTTGCGGATTGGAAATATTATACTCGGCAGCAGCAGAGTATTAATGCTTGATTGTGTAGCTGACCAAAGATTACAGCAGCAGTTATCATCAGTGGATGATAATTAATCAGATGAATGCAATAAACCTCCCACTGACTATGATAATGAAGTCATTAATAGAAAATCTAGTCTTTTATTCTGTGTGTTTTTTAAGATTCAATTGTTGTAACTGCTATCGTTCTTTCTGATCTTCTTGGCTTCTGTTTTTCTTTGGCACAATCTGGGCGTTTATCATCAACTCTGACTTTCAAATGCTTGTTGCTGAAATATAGTGTCTGGGGAATAGCAGATGACTATTGAATCTTAAGCTGAGGGGTGCTTTTACTGGATGTCTGTTTGAAATGATAAACATTCAGAGGAATACCTTGACATTTTCAATTCTTTTTCTTGAAACTGTTGGTCCTGCTGCCATGAAATAAAACTTTAAAATCAAGTCAACAAAGAAGCAAATTTATCTTTTCCAGTTAATGCAGCAGGATTCTCCTTTGTACTCTACAAAGATTATTGCAGGACATGTAGGAGTTGGAAACCTTGTGGGACACCACGGGACATCCTACTAATATAAGCTTGTTTTAAAATGCGTTCAATAAAAAGAAGTCATTGCATTTAGATGTAGAATACCATAGGCTGCATCCCCTCTGGACAATATACAGATGCAAATGAAAGCACTTTATCATGTCATTTAAAGGACCAGTGTGCTTATAGTTGGCTTTCAACTAGATACGGTAACATTCAGCTTTAAAGTAGTGTTTAATAAATGCATATAAGGTTTGCAAACTAAATCTTTTTCAGGGAGTTTTCAGGTGTTTTCTTGCATGCCCTGTGCAAAATTGGCTTTGAATCTAAATTTAGGAAACAAAGTGCACTGTGTCCATTTCTGTAATTCACCAGAAAGTCAAGGTATCCCTACTGAGCTGCAGTGTTACTCTGGTTTTAATGGCTTTGCTTCCTGACCTCTTCCTTCTTGTCCACCTCCTCCTTGGCATGCCTGCTCCCCCCCCTTGCTCTCCGCCTCGCAGCTCAACCTCATCCACAGCGAGGTCAGTAACTTGGCTGGCTTTGACGTGGAGGGGGTCATCAACCCCACCAATGCTGAACTTGAACTTAAAGATGATCTAGGTGAGCTCCTCAACTCCCTGCCCTCCTTCCTTCACCCCCTCTCGTCCGCGTGGGCTTAGATATTCAAAATCATTGAAGGTTCAACAGTACAGCTTCTTCTAACTTAAATCCTTACTGGGTTAAAAAATATCAAAGTTTCAAGCTTCTTAGAGGGCCTTTTTCCACCCGTTCCATTCTTTCACACTGTGAGCAGCTCGGTTCAGATGGTGGACAGTGGAAGAGATATTTTAGGTTTCGGTTTAACAGAAGGTGAAAATCAGGTTTTTAAAATGCAATTTGTAGCACAACCAGTCTGTAGTTTCGACATTAATTGTATTAAACTGTGATTTCTAATCAGCAGGTATTTGAGATGCATTTTTATCTACATTTTCTGTTCCTTAAGACATTTCTATGCTGACGCTGCTGCAAAAAGGCTTTAGTGATGTTCACCCATGGCCATTGGGGGAAAATCAGAAAAGATTTTTATCATTGTTTCCTCTGGGTTGATTGCTTTGAGGTGGCAGGTGGTCCTCTGCAGCAGTTACACTGTTCAGCTGTCATTAAAGGCAGAGGTTCTTTAGTGCTGTAGCTCTCCAAAAAGGTGATTCTGTTCATCTGGACGTAGCGTTTTGTGGGTGAAACGTTTCGTCACTCATCCAAGTGACTTTAGGATGAATGACGAAATGTTTCTCCCACAAAACGCTGCGTCCAGATGAACAGAATCAACTTTTTTGAGATTTCCTTCCCTGGATGATTGAGAATGCATCGAGACGTTTAGTGCTGTAGCTAAAACTTCCCTGCCATAAGATTTGTATGACATCAGCTGTTCGTCTTTGGTTTGGGGCAAATTAATACTTCAATAGTTTGTTTTTCTGCTGACATTAGGTCAACAGTTTCAGAGAAACTTAAGTAACACTGCCTCTTTTCTGCATACATGCACTAAAGAGAACTGTGGGATAAACTAGCATTTAAAAGTAGATACACTCACAATGCACTGAAATGAAACAAGTGCACACAAATTAGGGAAATAAAATAAAATTAATAATCTAATTTTGTTTATTGGTTTCATGGGGAGACACACCGTTTGTGGCAGCAGTCTGAAAACACTGAAGTAATGAAATTTTCTAAATTATATGTAAATGAAATATAACATTATAATTGTATAATGTTCTATTTAATAGAAATAGAAGATCAGATATATTAAAGCTTAGTAAACGCCAAATGTTAGATTAGATCTTTTTTTTTTTTTGGGTGTGGTTTTAAATAACTGCATCTTGTTTTTATTTATGCTTATAATCTATTTGGTTAATGCTCCTGTAAACGTCGCTTAGTAGACTTATTCGATGCTTGCTGGATGGTCAGCTCCTTGGAAGTAACAGAACTGCTCACAGTGTGAATAAACTATGAGATGCTTTGATTCTTAAAGTAGCCGTTCCTGCTCTTTGACTCGTGAATATAAGAGCAGAAAGGTGGAAATTTTCCTTCAAATCAATAGAAAAGCATGGATAAAATGCCGCTTCTAGGAAAAGAAAGCGATTTCTGTGGAGACTTTCAAGGATTTTCTCAAAGCTCCTCAGAGCAGCGATCCTGCTTGCTCCTCCTGTTGTGTAAATGTGTTGCGGTTCATTCCAGGTTGTCCTCCTTTCAAAGGGCTGCAGGACCTTTTGTAATGCTTGAAGATCAGTGTAGTGCACTGAAGTAGAGCGAGAGAAAACCCGACACGAGCCTCTTTTAGGCGCTCACTTCAGCCTGACTGTGAGGTTGTTCACCTGGAGTGCGATCATAACATTCAGGACTCGGGATGACACAGTTGGACGGATTAAATTCTGCTGCTGGAAAACTGTAGGAATAAAAATATTTTGGGGTGTGGTTATATGCCCTGACGATTACACGCTTTTTGATTATTTACTCTATTCTTGTTTTATTTTAAGCAAATCTAGCCAACTGTGCAGTCCTGCTTCCTGATTACATACTGTAACATGACCTACCATTCCCTCAGTTGCCTCCTTGTTCCCTGTGATGTCCTCAGCCAATAAGGAGCGTGCTCACTTTCTCTTTTCTTCTTCTCTTTCATTCATTTATTTCTTTTCTTTTTGCCATCTTATTGCTCCTGGTCACTCACTGTGTTTTTTACCACCATGTTTGTTTGCCTGTCGTTGTTGTTGTCTGTAGTTGCAAGTTGTCCAAGCCGACATTTCCATCGTGGAGAGCGACGCTGTCGTTCACCCGACCAACTCCTCCCTCTATACAGGTGGTGAAGTAGGTAAAGGAACCACTGACACTGCAGACACCACGACTGCCTGTCTGCTCTCCCTCTGCATATCCAGATGGTCAGCGCTGCAGTCTGTGGGCAAACATCACAGCAGCAGCACAGTTTTTATTCTTTAATGAAGCGCTTTTTAGACCACGACCAAGCTCCCTGCTGTTCTTACTGTAAAAGCATAACCACAGAATATATGATCAGAATTGCTCAATGGTTAAAAATTGAAAAGGGAGGAAAAACCATCCTTCATTATCAGTGAAAAATTAACTTGCAGAGGCTTGAAAAGTGCAAGTAAAGGCTTTAAGATTAGTGCATTGAGGTACTTGTGGGTAACTGCCAAGATCTGAAAGTTGGCTGCCAAAAAAATGTTTTGCATTCACACGCGATGTTTTCCACAAACCGAAGCCAGTAGGCAAACAAAATGTGGACACTCAACTCAATTGGTTCATGTAAATTTTGGTTTTCATCTCGACTCAGAATGTTTCGAAACTGGTTCCCGCTCGTTCTCATTCGCAGAGCAGTGTAAGTGTAGTTAGCTGGGTGACCTCGAACTCCCACGTCAGCACCAGGGGTCGAAGCGCTGACACTGTGTGAGGTTTATATGTGGATGAAAAGCTGGACTGCCACATACTTCTGTGACAGCTTTTCAGAGATGTATCTGGAGCGTAGTGTGTTATAAGCTTTTTGTAAGCGTGTTCAACAAGCTTTCAGAGTCATATCATATCTTCTGCCTAAATTATTCCTCCTGCTTTGTGAGTCTGGCTCCTTGCCACAAAATCTTAAATCAGACTGCATTAAACGTTCATGGTCTCGGCTAACTTTCAAATCTTTGCCAGTTTATTATCACATCATCCAGGTATTATTTCCAGCTGGCCTGCAGAATGTGTAACAATTAACCTGGGTAGCGTATATTTTTGTGCTGCGCTCTCTCCAACAATCTTTCATAGTTATTCCCACCAAAGACAATGTACACAGTGTTTATGCTTCTCCTAGTGATTCTCTTAGTCCAAGCATCAAGTAATGCATACACACACTTTCTCAGTGTGATCCTAACACAGTGCTGCTGCTTGTTGTTGCTTTGTTCCACTCGACTGAAACGCAGACAGTCTGGGACTCGCTTCATTTCCTGTGACATTTAACCTCTCTGACTGTGCTGTCAGTTCAGACGGTTAGAAAGAGAGAAAATGTCTAAGACGCTGTTTCCTGAAGCTTCATATTAAAACCCGTGAGGGTTGATTTGTGGCAATTTGGATTAATGACTGAACAAATATTAACTAGCTCTTTACCTACGAGGACCATCACCCTTTGTCTGCTTTTCTTGTAATGACTGTTAAATGATTTGAGGGGCTTTTCTTTAAAATGCTGACTTTTACTCTTACTTCCAGACCTTGTTTTTACCCCCCCCCCCCCCTGCCTGTTTTTAATATTGTTGCAGCCAGAGCATTCATTTGTCTGCTTCTGGTGACGTTAAATTGCCTCCCCTCTTCTCTCTTTAGCTCTGAGTGCATTTTAAAGTGGTATAAATGTCGTCAGTGATACATGAATACACATGAAATCAAGTATCCTAGTTAAACTTAAATTGCTAGGACTATTTTACTTTAAGTCCATTCATCAGTGCTGCAAAGCTTTTACATTGTTAACTATAATATTCCCTCACCCACTTTTTTTTTTTTTTTTGTTGCTATTTTGAGAGTGAAAGAAAATACTCTCCTCACTGCATATAAGCCACTATGGAAGGACAGAGGGAAGTAATTACAGACTGAAGCTTTAATACATTAGTTTAACTCTCAGAATGAGTCATTCTGAAAATGGCAGCTTTGAATCCTTACACTTCATTTATGAGACTTTCCCAGACTCTTAAAATTAAAGTAACAGGAACATGTATGTTTGATTATAAATGTGAGTGCAGAGATTCAGAGAGAGGCCGGGGGAAATGATTGACAGCATCATTGTCTGTTGTGTGTCTGCCTGCCTGTCTGTCTGCATGATCACCAGTCAGCTCTCTTCTTGCCTGCTGTTTTTCTCGCTGCAGTATGTGAGGATGCATTCACCTCAGTCCTCTCTCCCCTCACAGGCTCTGCTCTGGAGAAAAAGGGGGGTAAAGAGTTCGCCGATGCAGTGCAAGAGCTGAAGAAGAAAAACGGCCCTCTGGAGGTGGCTGGTGGTAAGTGCACAGAGGATTGTTTTTATTTATATTTTAGACACAGAAAGTAGAGGTTATATCAGGAGGCCTGAAAGATCTCGCTTGGACTTGGCTGTGGTACTGTAAATAAGACATTAAATCATTCTATCACCATTATTTTAACACCACATACAGATAAACATGTGGAAATGATAAAAATTTGGCAGAATATGTTTTTTCAAATAAACGCTGGTGTTTTTCAATGATATAAAAAGATAAATCTCCATAAACACAGGGGTATAAAAACCTGCTACATGATGCTAGGCTGGCAACACAGGTGAACTGAAACATCATCGTCACTGAGTAAGAGGAGTATCAGCTGAACAAGGGGAAATGATATATTTTACTTAGAAATAAATACAAGATCCAAATCCAGAAATTTAAAACTAAATGCCTGCTCAATGATGGAATATCCAGATAATCCTAGTGAGTTTTTTAAATAATTTTTTTTAGACATTTTCAGGCTCGATAAATCCTCTGAAGAGTGACAAGAACTCCTATAATTTCTGGTAATGATTATGACACCATGTGATGAGCCAGCAGGTTCAGAGTTTAGTTTTCTTTGGAGTCTGAAAAAGTTGCTGATTGGATGAGGTCTACTGCTTTAACCTGCCTACACTAACCTTATCCTCCAATCACATTTGAGTGCTCCTCTCACTGTCTTCTTGTTACTGGCTTGTACAGTAACAAATAAGCATGTGCTTCTTTAAACTTTTAAACTACTCGATTAAAAATTAGAGGAACACTTTTTAATAAGGCTGTGGCATCAAGTCATTTAAAAATCTGGGATATTGATCTGGTCAGAGAGGCAGAGAGGTTTGTTGCTGTTTTGGTGTTAACAAGAAATTAACTACAGGTGCACCACCTGTGGGCAGGCGAGGACATGGACACCCAAATTTGTGAATGCAATAACTTGAGAACAAAGCAATGTAGGAATTTTAAATTCATACCATAGGTGCTGCCACTAGTGTTAGTGTCACTACTGATATCATGAGGTGATACCTGGACCCTACAGAGGTGGCACAAGTAGTCCAACTCCTGATACATCAAAGGGTGCCTTTTCCAGAAGGTTTGCTGCACCTCCCAGCACAGAGAAGCAACAGAGAACGTTGTGCTGCCTGTAACATTCAGCATGACTGGTTTGCTGACGGGTCAATGATAGTCGAGGGACGCACAGGCTTCTACGGGCTAGGCGACGGCACCCTGACTGCTGTTAGGGGACCTATCCGATGCTGTCAGATTGCACCTCAGACTGTCCGGCTCCAGATCCCTCAGGACTGTATTCATGACATTGTCTCGTTAGAAGCACGCCCTGATGTTGTCAAACATGCAAACAAACACGTGGGTCCATCTCCATGTCTGTAGAAGTCAGTGATTGGTCCATCCATACAGTAAAATTGACTAACCTGCCAAAATATTTTTTTTCACTTTGATTTTCAGTGTGTCTTTGAACTCAGGCCCCTGTAGGTTGACAATTTTGATTTCCATCAATCAAAGTGGCATCCACTGATTCACTGAACACACCCAGTTCATGATGTCAGTTGAGAAATCCAGCATGATTATTCAGTTATTTTCTTTACCCTGACGGTCTTGTGTGTTTTCAAAGTCTTCCTTTTATTTAGGAATAAACAATCTCTTGCTTTCACACACACTCTGATGAAAAACCAAAACTGTCCATAAAAAAAAAAAAAAAAGAATTTTGCCACCTCACAGGATTAGCTTAACATTTTAAGTGCTCAATAACAACTCCCACTTTTTTGTTCTCACTTCTTTTCGAAGTGTATTGTAACTGTTCCTGGGTCTTTTTAACAATGTTAACAAGTTTATTGTAATTTGTTATCCAGAAACATTCTTGATCAGTGTTGTTTCTAGATTTTTCTCTTTTTTTTTTTTTTTTTTT